CTGGGATTACAGGCGTGAGCCACCGTGTCCGGCTAATTTTTGTATTTTTAATAGAGATGGGGTTTTACCATGTTGACCCGGCTGGTCTTAAACTCCTGACCTCAAGTATTTGCCCATGTCAGCCTCCCAAAGTGCTGGGATTACAGGCGTGGGCCGTCGCACCGCACCTGGCCTTTTGTTTTTGTTTTTTTTTGGAGACAGGGTCTCTCTCTGTTGCCCAGGCTGTAGTGCAGTGGCACAATTGTGGCTCACTACAACCTCTGCCTCCCAGGCTCAAGCGATTCTCCCATTTCAGCCTCCCAAGTAGCTAGGACTATAGGCACGTGCCACCATGCCTGGCTAAATTTTTTTTTCTATATTTTTTGTAGAGACAGGGTTTTGCCATGTTGCCCAGGCTGTTGTCTGTTTCATTGAGTAAAGCATTCCTAGTGCCCAGAACACTGCTAGGCACTCAATGTTTATTGGATGAATGGGTAGCATTAGTAACATTTTGCTGCACTTAGTTATAAACAAGACCTCCTTCCCCATATTAGGCCAAAGTTCCATGAGGACAGGGAATGCATATTATTCTGGACCCTTAATAAATACTGACTGACCAGATGAGTAATGGACTATGTGAAAACAAGGCACTGAAAATGAGCTGGTTATATTTGGGTTGAAAATTAGTCATAAGGGGCCAGGCACGGTGGCTCATGCCTGTAATCACAGCACTTTGGGAGGCTGAGGTGGGCGAATCATAAGGTCAGGAGATCTAGACCATCCTGGCTAACACCCTGAAACCCAATCTCTACTAAAAATACAAAAAATTAGCTGGGTGTGGTGGCGGGCGCCTGTAGTCCTAGCTACAGGGGGAGTTAAGGCAGGAGAATGGCGTGAACCTGGAAGTCGGAGCTTGCAGTGAGTTGAGATTGCATCACTGCACTCCAGTCTGGGTGACAGAGCGACTCCATCTTAAAAAAAAAAGAAAAAAAAAAAAGTGGTAAGGGTCGGGTGCGGTGGCTCACGCCTGTAATCCCAGCACTTTGGGAGGCCGAGGTGAGCAGATCACTTGAGGCCATGAGTTCAAGACCAGTCTGACCAGCGTGGTGAAACCCTGTCTCTACTAAAAATACAAAAATTAGCTGGGTGTGGTGGCAGATGCCTGTAGTACCAGCTACTCAGGAGGCTGAGGCAGGAGAAGTGCTTGAACCCAGGAGGTGGAGGTTGCAGTTAGCTGAGATTGCACCACTGCACTCCAGCCTGGGCGACACAGCGAGGCTACATCTCAAAAAAAAAAAAAAAATCTCAAAATAGACAAGAAAGAAGTCACTACAGGATGAGAGATGGTACCACAAGACAAAGAGCCTGGTTGTAGAAAATGAAACCTATGTGATAGGAAATAAGTCACTACTTCTTTGCCATAAATAATAAATTCAATGGGAATGCTCAGTGGGGATCTATTCTCTGAAACTTCTAACCTGTGGCACTGTGGTCTCCAGATTGTAGTGTTTATTCAGGAATTTCAGCAGCTTCTGTGAGGGTCGGTCAATGGCGAGTTGGTGCGGTTCCACTCGCTCCTTCTGCAGGGAACAGGAGACTCAGGGTAGGAGGAAGTATGGGGAAAGCATGCCAACAGGAAGCCAGAAGGAACAGGAGGACATAGGAATATGGGGGGTGGGAGGCAGGGCTTCTGGAAGGGCTCATGGCAAAGGAGTCCCTAGTTTGGATGAACCAGTGAAGAGGTAAGTGATACCTGCAACATATACTGGAAGAGTTCTCGCCCATGGCCATGGCGTTGCACAGACTCATGGATATAAAAGTCCAGGATGCAAAGTGGTTCTACCTCATTATGAGCCTCACGATCATCCTAAGAGAGAAACAATAAAAATGTTTTAGGACCCCCGGCATCTCTGCTGCCCCCTAACCTCCAGCACTTTTGTTCTCAAGAACCAAGGTATACGAACTCCTGGCTTCCAGTAACACTCACCAGTACAAAGAGCTTCTTGTATCCAACTTTGATGAACCCAATAATGGCTCCTTTTCCAGCCCTGTAGAATGGGGAAAATAATGAACAGGCTAGTGGTAACTATCTGTAAGAGATAGTCAAAGATGGGGGAAGGGCTGAGGGAGGAAGGAATTAAGTATGGGATGGAAGAGAATGTGGCACTCACGGTCGGCCTGAACTGTCTTTGAGAATATAAACAACATGGCGGTTACTCTGCATCCTTGATGCACTAGTGATGGGAGCGGAAAGATTCTGGGCCTGCAGGGAAGATTAAGTCAGACTTTCTGCAAGTCCCTCCAAAGGACCCAGGCCTCCCTTATCTACCATCCCCACAGAGGTCCTCCCTTTACTCCATCTAAAACCTCTCCAGTACCTTGGCAGAAGCCTTGCCCAGTTCATCTATAATGGTCATAATTTGCTGCTGTAGATCAACACTAGAGAAAGAGAAGAAATAAAAGCGTCAGATACTCACTGAATTAGCGGGTCCTGGGCAGTCAGTCCTGGGAACCTGGGCCACAACTCCAACCAAGGTTTAACACTGAACGCTCCCTGCCTTTGCCTGGAAGTCTCCCAATCTGATTTCCCATCCCACGCTTCTGAAACCCAAACTTCTGTCACACCTTTCAAGGTGGTACACTCCCTCCTCCCTTAAGGTTATTGTGAGGAAGCAGAAAGGCCGGGTCAACCACATCCTTTGGTTGGGACATTTTGGGCCGAGGTGAAAGGTCACAGATCCAAGCGCTGATCAATCCCACTAGGCCCAGGGTCAGAGGTCACCAAAAAGGCAGGCCAGGACATCAAAAGGAGCGATCACTAGTCAGTGAGAAGGGGGCGTGGTGCCTGGACCAGGTTTGGAGAGGAACCGGGAGAAAAGGGGCAGGGGGTGGGTTTGAGCTGTCACCGGGCCGGCGTTGTGGTTCCGGGTCGGCGGGCTGGGGGCCTCAGGTGCTGGTCCAGCACCGTGATCCGCTCCGGGAACAGCGCGTCCACATCGAACGGGAACTCCATGGCCCATTGTGCGCGGTTGGACCCGCCCCACACGACGTCACTTCCGCCCCTCCCTTCGCCGCACTGCCTCTGGGAGTCTTTATTTCCAGGAGCCCCGCCTGTAGACCCTGCCCCTAGCGTCCTGGCAACTGCCAGGGCCCCCCTTTTTTTTTGCCAAACCAGCTGTATCCCTAGCAGTGCCACTCATTCCCATCTCTGCATCCCACGGCAGTGAGTGCCATGGCAACGCAGTCTTCCTAGGCCCAGTGTCTCACTAACCTTTTAGCCCCTCAGTGAAGTGGGCTATGCTGTGAGTGTGGAATGGCGACCCACAAAGGCATCTTGACAGAGTGGCACAGCTGCCCATCCCCCGCTTCTAGTCCCAGGCGTCACTGGCAAGGCTGGCTTAAGCCTGACCACTCATCTCCCCACAGCACCACCCAATTGCTTATATGAAAAGAACATCACTCAGCCCACCCCCGCTAATGGTATTCATGGTAAACAGCCCAAAGCAAACTAGAGACAGGAGAGTAGAGCTTTATTGTGTAAAAGCTGAGTTGGTATAAGTCTGAAACAGCAACAATGTTTAGCCCAGCCCATCTATTTACAATATATAGGGGTTGGGGTTTCCCATACACATCTGTCCTGCCCTCCCTCAGCCTCAAGATTTATCCCTATCAGCAACATTATTTCCTGGATTTGTCATTGGCTACAAAAGACACAACTCTTCAGGGTGATATCCCATCATATAAACCTACATAAACCTACATACACATTACCTCCTAGTCCCTCTGGCTCTCTTCCCTTTTTTTTGAGACAGGGTCTGGCTTTGTCACCCAGGCTGGATTGCAGGGGTGCAACTGCAACTCACGACAACCTCCGCCTCCTGGGATCAAGTGATCCTCCCTTAGCCTCCCCAATAGCTGGGACTACAGGCGTGCAGCACCACACCCAGCTAATTTTTGTATTTTTTTGTAAGCCACCATGCCTGGCCTCTCTTCCCAGTCTACGGCTCCTACAGAGCACTCTGAGGGTCTGTCTGCCCAGTGAAGGAGGCTTCCGCTGGTGCTGTAGGGGGCATCTTGGGCATTGACTCAGGTGGGGGGCCACTCTCTTCTCGAAGATGACCCTGGTAAAGCCGGCGAAGGCGTGACAGTTCTCTCTCTGGTGGCTGTTTCCAGTTGTACCATGGGTACCAGGGGTCACCTGAGATCAGGGTGGGGGCTGGCGGAGTAGCACTCACAGCCCCATGAGAGATACTGAAGTCACGGTCCCGTGGTTCAACCTGGGGGATGTGGTAAATGAGGAGACCTAAGGGATTAAAAAAGAAGAGAAATTTAAGAGGGAATGAGGAGGGTGGTTTAGATGAAGAAAAAGGATTATAAAGGGAGGGACCAGTCAGAGCCACTGGGTACATTTATGTATGTTGTATACCGCAAACAGGTGAGACTGGCCCAGAGGGCAAATGTGGGCTGACATACTGCTGGGGCTCTTGCTTACAAAGCTATGCAGCCCTGAACAAGGACTATGAAGCTGCATCTATACCTTTTACTAATTTATGCAGCAGTGCCATGTAGTCCAGGGCCAGACATTTATATAAAGATCTTCCTATGATCTTGCTATGGCATTGAGACCAGCAGTTGTAAAATAGGAGGGAAAGGGATGGAAAGACAAAGACCAAGGAGACAGGATAATGATAAAGTAAGACACTCAGGAGAAGGGACAGGGGACAATGGAATGTCAGAAGAGACTCAGGAAGAACATGCTGGTTGCTACCATCTTGAACAGGTGTGAGCATTTATATCCATAATCTAGCCCTAAGTCACCTTCCTTATACCTAAACAAAACCGCCGTGTGCCCCGTCTCATGCTCACCATGATCCCTGGCTTTCTGGATGGCCTGGGTCAACCTCTTGTGCTGCTTCACACAGACTCCTATGGGGAGAAAAATAACTTGTTCTTTAAGGCACAGTAAATAATAGAACACAACTGCTTCCGTATGGTGACAGAGGAGTAGATTGGGAAGGACTGGCTTTACCTAATGACCCCTTTCCCCTGACCTCTCCGAGGACCTCAGTTTCCCCATCTGCCCAATGGAAAGAATCTCTCCCATCTCTTGGAGAGCTGGGATAAAGATTTAGGAGGGTCTAGCCAATATAGAGAAGCTATTTAATGGTAAAGCCTCCAAGACAGGGAGCAGAACACAATTTAATGGGCAAGTGTGGTTAATTAGAGGGTTGACTTGAACAATCCACAGAGAAAGATTCAATAAAGAGAGAAGAGACTTCAGAGTTGGGGAAGGCAATCTGAGAGTAACAATAATAGTCCCTTCAGCCTTTACAGCTTGACTATAAGAAACTCTTGACAAACTGAACACTGATTGTACTGCCACCTCCAATAATGGTGAATTCAGATTTATTCTCTGCAAGGCTGGGCACAGTGGCTCATGCCTATAGTCTCAGCATTTTGGGAGGCTTAGGCAGGAGGATCACTTGAGTCAGAAGTTCAAGACCAAAGTGGCCAAAATGGTGAAACCCTGTCTCTACTAAAAATGCAAAAAAAATTAGCCAGGCACAATGGCACGTGCCTGTAATCCCAGCAACATGGGAGGCTGAGGCAGGAGAATTGCTTGAACCCAGGAGGTGGAGGCTGCAGTGAGCCGAGATCACGCCACTGCTCTCCAGCCTTGGGTGACAAAGTAAATGAGATTTCGTTGCAAAAAATATATATTTATATTAGTCTCCACCGGGCACAGTGGTTCACGCCTGTAATACCAACACTTTGGGAGGCCGAGGTGGCTGGATCACCTGAGGTCGGGAGTTCGAGACCAGCCTGACCAACGTGGAGAAACCCCATCTCTACTAAAAATATAAAATTCACCAAGCATGGTGGTATGCGCCTGTAATCCCAGCTACTCAGGGGGCTGAGGCAGGAGAATCGAACTTGGGAGACAGAGGTTGCAGTGAGGCAAGATCCTGCCATTGCACTCCAGCCTGGGCAACAAGAGTGAAACTTCGTCTCAAAAACAAAAAAAAAATTCTCTGCAAATTTGTCTTGCTTCAGAGCAGGGTTAGCAAAATTTTTCTGTCTAGAGTCATATAGTAAATATTTTAAACTCTGCAGGTCCTGTGGTCTCTGTCTCAGCTACTCAACTCTGCCATTGTAGCATGGAAGCAATTGTAGACAATATGAAAACAAATGGACATGGCAGTGGGCCAGATTTGCCCTGTGACTGTAGTTAGGGAATAGATATAATCCTGAATTGTTAAATTTACAACTCCAAGTTTGGAAAATCTAATTCAATTGACAAAGATATAAAATAACTTATGTGATAATTTGCGAGAAGTCTTTTGTAAAAGTGAAAAGACCCTATAGAAAGGAATTAATCACTGTTCATCAATTAAAAACTACATTTAGATAGTTTGCTTACAGAAGCACTTGCTTTTTTCTTTTTCCTTTTTTTTTTTTTTTTTGAGATGGAGTTTCACTCTTGATGCCCAGGCTGGAGTGCAATGGCGCAATGTCAGCTCACTGCAACCTCTGCCTCCTGGGTTCAAGCGATT